GTGGGAGGGGCGGTGGTTCTTGGACTCTGTGCCAGGGCGAGAGCCGGGGGCTGTCAAAGTGTAAGAGCCGCTGGACCAGGATGAAGACGTCTGTGAGATGCAGTTGGGAGAAGCTGTCGCGCGCTCAGAGGGCAAGAAAGACCTAGGTTGGAGCAGAGGCAGAGGGGGGACGAGGTCGGAGGCCGAGCTGGCTCCCCCTTGTGGTCATAACTAGTTGCCCCAAATAGGAAACTGGACAGTGCAGTGCCACAGAGCCGGAGGTGTGGCCCGTGACGACGCCAGGCCAGGTTCGCACGGACTGACAAAGCCCAGGCGGTCACATCGCAGCTGACCGGTGCTCATGAGCTTTGTCTTCCAGAAAGTCATTGTCATTTGTCATTTCCCAAGCCATCTCAATGCCAGAGATGCCAGAGATGAGAGGAATTAATGTACATGAATTAGTTATCCACAAATAACGGCAGTTTCCTTCCCACTGCCTCGTTTCCCGCCACCCACAAAAACCAAACATTGCTGAAGAAAACCAAAGGCCCCTTAACCAAAAGTGCCAGTTAGGACTGGAGAGGCCACATGGCGGCTTTGAAACCATGGCAACCTTATTTTCTCAAGCAGAACTTGGAACACGGGGTTTGCAGTGTGGTCTGTAAAAGAGACAGTGTGGCCTATGAAATGAGGAAATTCCAGAAAAACGAGACTGGCAGTGGCTGGTTGTTTCTGGAATGGAGGGCAGGTTACGAGAAGAAAAGCAATTAGAATAAAAACAGGATCTTTGAGACGCGTCAACGACTGCAATGCACCAGAGTCCCCGCTCCTGGCAGACAGGATGATTTCGGTGGGGGGCAGTGGGGGGGGGGCGAGCTTGCTCGCTGTGGCCACGGTCACACAGCAGCGATTTCCAGCGGCCTCACGTCCCAGACCGCACCGGCCACCCCACTCTGTGGCCGGCTGCTGGGCTGTGCCAAGGCGACCTCACAGCCCCTCTGCTCCCGGGGAACCTCCGACGGGCCGATCGAGCCCCTCGTTTCTCTGCCGACCCCACGCAGCTCTGAGCGTAGGCTCTTGTCACCCCACAGTGAACTTCTCCCCGCCTGGCGACACGAGCAGCCTCTTCCCCGGCACGTGGTACCTGGAGCGAGTGGACGAGCTCTACCGCCGAACCTACGCCCGGCGCGCCCTCTGAAGGTGCGGGCGGGGGCGGCCGCTGACGTCAGGCCCTCGCGCCCTTCACTGAGCAATAAACGCAGTTCCCATACCACCGCCAGGCCAGAGCGCGTCCGTGGCTCCCCAAACGCCCACAGGAGGCACCGACTCCGGCTTGGGGGTCTTCCCGGCCCCCTCATCCCCTTGGGGTCCGCCCTGGGAGAAGCCTAGGGAAACCAGGCAGGAGAACTGCTTCCTCCCTCACCTGAAGGTGTCACACAGAGCAGAGCGGCAGGCCGGGCCGGGGGCAGGGCCCTGTGCAGCTCAGCCTTGCCAGCAGCCTGGACAGAGACCCAGGGTAGAGGTCAACGGGCTAAGGTTAACCCTCCCCGCCCCACATATGTTGGTAGCTGGCAAGAACCGGTCCATGGGGGTGGCACTGGTCTGTGCCCTGGTTAGGAGTCAATCCCCAGGGTCCTCTTAGAAAATAGCAGGATTCAGGGAGGTGGGGCTGAGCCGTGGGGGGCTGGGAGGGGGGAAGTCGAGTCACTGTCATTTGTTTCTTTTTAGAATGTTTCATCTGCACCTCCAGAAGGAAGGGGCACGTTAGAGCAGAGAGGACCTGACCTTGCCCCAGGCGCAGGGCTGTCCAGGGCCACGGGGTAAAGGGTGCTGGGAGCCAGAGGCGAGGTTGTTCATGTCCCAACAGCTCCAGAAGCCCGAGGTGACCCCCGGCTGAGCCTCAGCTGCTGATTGCCTTCCAAGACCCTCTCTCCAGGGGCCACGGCTGCTCCCCTCCGGCCCCCACCCCTTCCTGCTCTCCCCCGCCAGCTGTGTGGGGCCCTCAGCCTAGTTGGCAGCCCGGCGGGATGGCCTGTGCCTCCCTGACATCCCCGAGCAGCATCTCCGGCCATGGAGAGAAGCCACGTTCCCTCGGGGCCTTGAAATAAGAACGTGGGCTCGGCCTCTGCCCATGTCGGGGTCACTGTGGGGTGTTGGTGCGGAAAGTGTCTCCATGGCCTTAGCCGCCGGCCCCTTCTGTGTGGCGGGGGCTGGCCCGGCCCACCTGCACCCGCACCGGGCAGTCATCTGGACACGAGAAGGGGAGAGTGAGTGGATGTAACAACTGGGCTTGCAGGCTGCTGCCCCACACACGTCCAGTGGGCATCAGCGCCGGTCAATGGCTGGTCAGCCATGGAGCCAGAGGTCCCCCGCCCCCACTTTCAGCACCGAGCCCTAGGCCTTCCTCTGCTGGCCTGGCACAGCTCCTGCGACCTGACCCCGGCCGCCCCGCTCAGCCAGGGAGCGACTTCCAGCCGCCAGGCCCCTTTGGCCAAGCCCATAGGAACCTCCCTGTGTGGGCGCGGAGGGTGGAGGTGGCGGGTGAGGGCTGCAGGCTGCAGGTCGTCCCAGGCAGGGATTCCCACGTTGAGACAGATGCCTGTGAGGCAGCCGCAGGCTACTTGGGGTCGGCAGGGGGTACACCGCCCCACAGCCCCCCAACACTCAGCTTCTAAACCTCAGAAATCCCGGAGTCAGCGCTCTGGCTCTGCTCATCTGCTCTGCCTCCATCTCGGGGCCTACGGTCTCCCGCCTCCCAGCCACGAGACACAGGAGCAAAACCCCACTAAGCGAGGACGTGCCCGGCCTGGCGGCCACTCGGGAGGCTGAGGCAGGGGCCCACCAGGCTGCCCGAGGGGTGAACTGGCCAGCACCAGGCCCGTCTACTGCTCTATGCATCTCTAAAACGACCTACAAAAATCCAGCCAGGGAGCAGAGCCGCTCCAAGCCACGGGGGAGTGCTGAGGTGTCGGCAGTGATCCCGGGCAGCATCAAGGGTGATTCTGGGGACAGCATGACACAGGGCAGGCAAGGCGTTGTCCGGGGCCCGCCATTGCCACGCGTCTGGGAATGCTCAGAGGCTCGCGTACCTGGGTTTCTGGATTGGCTCTGACCCCAGCGAGCTCAGACATGTTTGTCTAGAAATTTCTGAGCAGAGACTGAAATGGAGCTCAGTTTTTAATCCAATATGCAACTTTCTTAGCCTCCGCTGTTTGTCCACGGTGATGGGTTCAAGGCCATGTGACGCACCTCTCCCCAAGGACTGGGGGCCCTGGCCCCATCCGGCGGAACGTGATGACAGACAAGCAGGGGGTTGCCTGCCTGCTCGCCAACAAAGGCAGGCGTGCAAAAACACACCGTCCATCCGGGGACTGGGCACCTCCCCGGAACCGTGGCTTAACCCACTTCGTCCTCCTTGTGCTTCCGCCACAGACTCGGGGAAATTAAACCTTGGCCCGTAGCTGACCTTGCTGGGCGAGCCCAGGCCTCCCACCTTCCTCCTGTGTCAGCGCCCAGCCGGCCGGGTACTGACCCCGCTGACCCTTAGCTCACACCCTGCTCAAAGGAACCCAAGGGCAGGCTCCTTCCTGCCACTGCACCAGCTGCCCGACTGGGCAGAAGCCTCAACGACAGGCACAAATGGAGGGGAGGGGTCACCCATGGCTAGAGGGCTGTTACAGGGCACCCCAGTGCGGACTGGGCCGCCTGCCTGTGGGGCCTCACCCGCACTTAAAATTCAGCTGTACTGCCAACCGCAAAAAGGGTCAATAATGGGTTTCTTTACAAAAGAGGAAAGGAAAAGGAACAACCCAGGGCAAGAGAGAGAGAGACAAGGTAACTGGAAGATCTTACTGACCGGGCTCCGGTAACTAACTGAAAGACAAACTAACTGAAAGCCCCGAGTCACGCCGCCCAGTGAGAGAGCCGTAGAGAATGGCGCCCTATTTATCCCCCGAAGTCCGAGTGCTGCTTAGCTCCACCCTGGGGTCCCCGCAGTTCTCTCCCTGGTACTGCTGGGAGCAGTAGTTTCCAATCCCTGGAGTAGGGGTGGGGTCCACAGCCTTCCCCTTTACAGGGGGCCCTACCAATTAGGGCTGGGGACGGCCACTCTGCCACGACCCATGAGGAGCACTTGTTTTAACTGAGTGATATACTGTCCGGCTCACACAGAGCCAAGCGAACCTGCAAAAGCCTCTCTGCCTCCCGTAAGCGTCCATGTTCTCACGGACACGAGGCTGCAGAATTCAACCCCCATGCACGCGTTTGTGTGCCTGCCCCTGCCGACAGACACCGGGGGCCGGCTGGGTGAGGCCCCCTCTTATGGTCAAGCAGTGACCAGCATGGTGTTCACATCTGTGATATTTAGTAATGTGCACTGATGTCCAGACAGCAGGGATCTGAAGTACCCTAAGAAACTGAAGGCTTGTTCCCAGGTAAATGCATCTGAATAACTGAGAGACGAGAGGGGTGATCTCCGGAACACCCACTCAGGCACGCAGATCACCACCCCCATCTGCTGCACCCCAAGCCAAGCGCCCGCCCGCGGGTGCCCTCTGGTGGCCGCCTGCGTAATGACAACAACGGGGCGGAGCACCTGGGACAGGCCCTTTATTCCGCGGTATTGGGGACTAGCAGGTCGGAGGTCTGCGCGCCCAGGAATGCGGCTGTCCCCTCCCTGCTGGTCAGAAAGTCCCCCGGGTGGGCCCAGGGCGCCTCTTCCAAGGTTAGAAGTGGAACTGGAACGCCTCTGCCACGTGCAGCTTCCAGGAGTCCAGGCTGGGCAGCAGGGAGGACAGGCCCATGACGTGCCAGGTCGCGCCGTCCGACACCGCCGAGGTCTGGTAGGACAGCAGCTGCACTCCGGCCTCTGCCAGGAGCCCTGGAAGCAGAAGAGGCCAGGTTGGCAGGGTGCACGGGAAGGAGAAGGGGGCTGGGGGCGGGGCCGGAAGTCAGGCCTGTGCTCAGCTGCCACAGGGTGGCGGTGTCAGAGGGCATCTGCCCGGCCCCTGGGGATCCGGAGACCCTCTGGGAAAACGGGCCAGCGGCAGGGTGGGCCCAGCCGCACAGAGCCAGAGCAACGTGCTGCCGTGCCGGAGGCCAGCTCCACTCAGACCAGCAGCGAGGGAGGAAAGTGGGGGAAAGTTCTGCAGGCAGCTGGCAGGGCGGGTGAAGTGAGGCCCGCGGAGGGCCGTGGGCACACTCTTGGCCCCACTGGGAAGTGCTCCAGGACTCCCAGCACTGCGGGGGCCGGGGCGGCCCTGGCAGGCCTCGCTGTGTCAAGGGAGCCTGACCCAGTGGCTCTGGGCGCTCAGGACTGGGCTCAGGGCAGGGCCAGGCGGGCGTCTGACGTGGCAATCGGGCCGGCAGCGGGGCTCGTAGTAGAGGCCTTGGGGCCGCCACTGCTCGGCCACCTCAGATCAGGCAGTTGCCCACCCAGCTCCCTCCCTCCCTGCACCCCCGGGGGCCAGCCTGCAGACCGTCTCTGGGCAGGGGGTGCTGACCAGAGAGGCCCTCGCCAGCGGCCGCCCGCCCCGCAGGTCCTCCTCACCGATCATGGTGGGCAGCATGGCCGGGCAGGACGACTGGGCCCGGAACAGTAGCAGGGGCCGGCCCCTGCGCAGAGGCACCTCTGGCCTGAACACCGCCCCGTTGAGGGCCTGCAGCACGGGCGTGGTGCCCTGGACCTGCCCCACGGCCCGGTAGGGCGCGCCCGCCAGGGCCACGGTCAGCAGGCTTTCTCCGCAGCCCTGCTCGCCCGGCGCCGCAGGGCCGTGGGAGGAGGTCACCTGGAGAGAGGCGAGAAGGCACCGTTACTGTCCTGCCCAGCCCCCCCGGCCATCGGGCCGGTCGGAGGGACGGCGGCGGCCCGCCAGCGCCATCGCGGGCCAGGGCCCGGGGAGGGTCAGGGTGGAGTCTGGCACGCTGGGGCGGTCGGCCGCCTCCCTGAGGTGGACAAGTGGGGACCTGTCAGGTGCAGGTGAAGGCTTGCAGGCGCGGGGTGGGGACGGGGTAGCAAGGGGGCAGCGGGGTGGGTTGGGCCTGACCCTCCTGCTCTCACTGGCCCCTCACAGGCTCAGGCCTGCCTGGGGTAGAGGACTGAAGAGGGGGAGGGCGGCCAGCTGCCGCTGGCTGAGAACACGGGGCGCCCACCTAGGTGGGGGGCCCACGCCAACAGCCACGCGGGGGGGGCCAGGCCCATCGGAACCCTGCCGGCCCAGGGGCGCCGCTCGAGAAGTGGGGCTGTGTGGAAGCAGCACCGGACGGGGCGTCACAGGCCACATGGGCACCTCCCGCTCGTCGCTTTCCTCAGCTCTCAGACGGGGGTGCTGCTCCCACTTCCATTCAGGGTGTTCAGACACCCGGCGCCCCCACGGCTCACCGCAGCACCCGCAGGCAGGCCCCAGCCGCCATGCGGGCGAGGGGCCGCTGCTCCCCGGGGGCACGAGGCTGTCCCTGTGCCGGACGCGGGGAGACAGGCCGTGCGGGGTGGGGGTGCACGCACGCTGAGACCAGCCTCCTGCACCAGCAGCTTGGCGTTCACCAGGTTGACATCCGCCGGACCGGAGGCTTCTCTCAGGAGGCCGACGATGACCGCGGGGCTGAGGCAGCTGCCGGAGTTCTTCAGGGCCGCACCTGGGGACCGAGAGCCGCAGGTGGGCTCAGGGGGCTCCTCGCTCCCCTGGGGCCACCCCCAGCGTTTCCCCCCGAAGGTGAGCGCCACTGAAGCTGACGCGCTGAGGGTGGAGGCCAGGCCACGCAGGACACGCAGTGCCACCCCGCTGCCCCCGGCCAGGGGGCCACTCTCCCCGCCCGGCATGTCCCAAGGGGACGCTAGAAAACCGCCCGGCCTTACCCAGGCCCGGCGCTCACGCCCTGCCTGACCCAGGCGGCGGAAGCAGAAGGGGCACCGACTCCCTGCGTTGTTCTTTCTGGGCCTGGGCGCCCAGGTCAGTGGGGTGCCCCGCGCGCCCTCCTGCCGCCACCAATGCCCAGGCCTAGATGCCCAGGCCTAGATGCCCAGGCCTAGATGCCTTCCCCGGCTCCCACGGGCGGAGGGGCCCGTCGAGGCGGGCTGTGTGCAGGGCTCAGGGCCGCCCCCCAGCGAAGCGGGGAGCCTGCTGGCCCCCTGGGTGCAGACGGCACACGGCTCCTTCCCACCCACAGAGGCGCCGGGCCCACGGCCTGTCCGAGTCACGGGGCACCACGCGTGCCCACTGCTCGCCCCCCGCCCCCGAGCTCACTTGGCCCCGGGGAGTCCAGCAGGTGAGCGTGAGTCGCTGACCCAGGGCCAGCACCCATCCCGCCCCTGCCGGCCCACCCCAGGGCCCCAGCTCCTCACCCTGCGTCATCACGTGGATGGTCCCCCTGGGGGACCCGGCCCAGGCTCGCATCAGGGTCCCCAGAGCTTCTGCCAGCCCGATCCAAGGCTTGGTGTGCGGAGAGAAGGCGCTGGTCAGGGCCTGGGCGTTGACCTGCGGGGGGCGGGGCTGGGTCAGTGGGAGGGCGGCACACACAAATCGGACCACTGCGCCACAGGCCACCCTTGCCGTGTCTGCGGGGTGACACTCCACCCGCACCCCGAGAGCAAGTTGTTTCGAGACCTGAGGGGAGCTGTGGACCCAGAAAAGGCAAAAAGGCAACACCACCCCAAATTGCCGGAACTGGGGAGCAGAGGCAGCCCCTCCTTCACTGTCAGCCGCGCCCCACGGAGACTGGCCTCTGCTGTGCCAGGGGTGAGAGCGGAGAGAACGGCCTCTGGCGTCAAATGTGGGGGCCGCAGACCACTTGCATGTGCGGTGTTCTGTCTCTCTGCCCAGCACCCCGAGCTTGCCGCCATCTTCATTTTCTATCTTCATTTATTTTTTAAAGATTTATTTATTTGTGTATACAGAAGTGGGGTACAGGCCAGAGGTGCAGGGGTGGTGAGAGGATTCACCAGAGACAGAGTGGGGGGCAGGACAGGCAGATCGACGAACCACACCGCTGAGGGGAGCAGCGGGCGGGTCAGGAGAGGTCTGCCACGCCATGTGGTCACCTCCGGGGCAGGCGGGAATCGAACTCATGATGAAGTGGCTTTAGCTTCTCAGTGCAGTGCTTTAACCCGCTGCGCCACCAGGGAGGGCCCTATCTTCATTTTTTTAAGGCGAGTGTTGACATGTCACTGATCTAAGGCAAGCGTTGACATGTCACTGAGCCTTTCGAGAAGAATCACAAGGCAGAAAGCCCGACTCATATACTTTGGATGACCCTACTGGGAGCCTCAGGCACCGACCTCTGTCCGCCACGGGCAGGCTGGGCAGTCGGGTGGACCCACGTAACCTTCTAAGCCACACACCTGCGGTCTGGCCAGGTAGGCCCCCACCTGGGGCTGGAAAGCAGCTGCCTTTCCTGGGTCACCTTTTGTTGCCCAGTTTCTCTGGCTCCGAACTGAAATGCTGGCCACGTTCACGGCAGCAATTGATACAGAGAAGCAGTCCGAAGGATTTGATTTGAAACTCGGGGTTTGATGCAAATCAAACAGGCGACTAGGAGGTGTGATAACAAGAAACCCCCGATGTGGTGGTGCTGGGAGTATGCTGGGTGGCAGGACCCCCACCACAGGCCCTTCTACGCAGGGGCTCAGCGTGAGCGCGCCCTCCTCCGACCTCCCCAGGGGGACACAGAGGAGCCACAGCCGGGGATGGACAGGAGAGGTCCAGCTGCAGGGAGCAGAGCCGAGGGGCCCCGCATCAGGGACAGAAAAAACGCTTCTCCTTGGTGTCCCCCAAGGCAGAACCCAACCTGGGAGCTCGCCCTAGGTCTGCTTCTCTGGGGAGCCCGAGGACCAGGGCGCCCCGAAGGGGTTTCCCGCCAGTGTCCAGCGGCGCCCCTCCCCCCTCTCCTGTTCCCAAGGCTGGCGGGGAACAAAGAGGCCTTTCTCCAGCCGGCGGCTCCCGGAGTGCCCGTCTGCACAGCAGGCACGGGTCTGGCTGGCCGGCTCCTGCACCAGGCCCGTTCCCAGCTCCCCACCGGAGGGCCGGGCTGGGCCAGGGAGACTCCCGGGGCTGAATCCGCTCGCCCCACGGCTCGGCCACTGTCAGGGTTCCCCAGAGGCACTCACCACCCCGGCGAGAGACTTCCCCTTCACCATGTCCACAAACTGCCTGGCGATCTCCTCCCCGCAGCGGCTCTGAGCCTCCCGGGTGCTGGCGCCCAGGTGGGGGCAGCTGATGACGTTCTCGTGGTCCACCAAGGCCCGGTCTCGGGGCGGCTCCTGCGGAAGGGACACCCCAGGGCGTGAGGGAGGCGGGTGGGCGCGGCCTCGGTAGCCGGTGTCCTCATGGAGGTCCCACCGCAGCAGCCGGCAGAGCCGTGGCCACGGGCACTCCCCACCCCCTGCCCACATACCTGGGGCGAGTCGCCCCTGTCCGAGCCTCAGTCTCCCCAGCTACAAAGTGGCTTAATATTACCCGGTCGGGTAAACGAAGTCGATCGGGCTTCGTCCGCACTATCAGCCTCTGGCCGTCCCTCGTGACCCTGATCTGTTAACGTGGCAGCCACGTGGGCGTGGGGTGCACGTGCCTGGCGCACAGGGGCGGGCACGCGGAAGTGTGCACACCTGGGCCTGGCGGCGGGGCTCTCCGGGCGGCGTCACTCCGCGATGGAGGACGGGAGAGGTGAGGATGCCAGAGAAAAGCGCTGGCAGGTTGGCAGGGCCTGGGGCTGGGCATGAGCCGCGTGTGCTGGGCGGGGGGCAGCCAGGGCTGGGGGCCCCCGCCTCCTGGGGGTGGCCGAGAACCCCACTGCCTGGCCCGGGACCAGAGCGGAAACCTGACGGGGGCCGGGGGCCGGCGGGCAGAGGGTGAGCTGTGGAGAGGCCTCGCAGGCCACGCGGGGACGGGGAACGTCCACACGTCCACCACCGCCTGCCGCTGCCCCCCTCCGGAAAGGGAGGCGACGGGGGAGGCAGCGGGACAGGGAGGTGGCGTCTGCGGTGGGGCTCTCCGTCAGAGGCCCACAGGAACCCCTCCCGGCCCCAAGGCCTCCCCTCAGGGCTGGCTGGCTGTTCTGTCTTCCGCGGGCGGTCAGATGCCGGCAGCGGAGGGGTCTGGGCAGGAACGGGCTTCCGCTAAAAGTGTTGGCGGGAGAGGGCCTGGCAGCTTTGGGCAGCTTTGTCCAAGCCAGGGCTTCTCAAGCCACAAGGGGTTATTTTTGGCAAGACGACTTCTCCCAATTACACCGGAGGCCCCGGAGCAAGCTGGCCCTCCCTCACCCAGGCCTCTGGCCCCTGTGCCCCGACCGGCCTCACGCACTGACCCCTGGCCTCATGCACGTACCTCTGTGAACACGTCCAGCGCGGCGCCCGCACACTGGCCAGACTGCAGGGCCCGCAGGAGGGCACCCTCGTCCACGATCCCGCCCCGGGCGCAGTTCACCACACGCACCCCCTTCTTGCACTGGGCGAAGGTGCTGTCGTTCAGCAGCCCTGGGAGGAGAGAGCTTCCTGCAGCGAGGGCGCCCGGGCCCTATGGTCAGCAGGGCCTGGAGGCCCCCTCATGGACCGGGCCTTTCCCCCGAGGCCTCCCCTCCCGCAGGACAAGGCTCTCCTTGGGTGCCTGCACTGGGGCCAGATTCAGCCCAGAAAGATCCTGGAAGCCGCTGCGATCTTCTCGAGGGGGTCTTGGGGCCAGTAGGCCGGCACTCACGGCCCTGGGTCATGGGTCACACATGCTGGCCCCGCTCACCCAACACCGCGTGCTTCCAGCTGCTTCACCCCAGTCCAGGGCCTCCCAGCCAAGCGCCCCCTGCTGGGCAGCACCGCCCGGGGCCGGCTGCTGCCTTGACCCCCAGAGGAGGGCCAGTCCACCCGGTGTCCCCCTCCCCCTACCTGTGGTGGAGGGCAGGAGAGGCGTGTGCACAGTGATGAAGTCACAGAGAGGCCAGATGTCCTCGAGGGGCAGCTGCTGGACACCGAAGGAGGCCGAGACCTCGGGCGAAATGATTGGGTCGAACCCTACAGTCTGGTTGGCAGAGAGGGGAGCAGAGCGCCCAGGTCAGCTGCCGGGCTCGGTGGCCACGCAATCACCGCACCCCGCCACGCACCAGCCAGCATTCGCCACATACCCGTCACCTGCCGCGCACCAGCCACGGACCTGCCACAGACCAGCCACGCACCTGCCACGCGCTCACCACACAACCGCCACGCTGCTTGAACCAAGCAGGCCCCTTCATCAGGGGCTGGTTATCTCCGATGGGGTTACGTTTCTTATCCTTACGCTTTCCTTTCTTTTTGAGCTTTCCCCAAGGCCCGGACATTTCCTTTGAGGCTGGGAGCACGTAAGACTGTTCTAACAATGAACGGCAAAGGGCGTACTGTGTCCGATGCAGCCTCTGGGAGAAGCAGCGGCCGTGGCTGTGACTGAAGAGCGGCCTGTGCTGTGAGCAGGGTGCCGGGTTCCAGCCCCTGGGGGCGTGGGCCCCTGGGGGCGTGGGTTCAGCGCTGCTTTCTGGGCCCTGCCCTACCGCTCCTCTCTCCAGCCGGATGAGAGCGCGGGGAGGAGACAGGACTCCTTTGCCAGCGCAATGGCTCTGCTCATCTCGAACCCAGATGGACCCTTTACGCGGAGCGCGGACAGGGACGGCGGAGTCGCCAAGCCCAGACTGAGGCAGCGAGAACACGGCCTGGTGCCCACCGAGCTGAGCTGGCCCAGTGCCCAGCCGGCAGGGGCAGGTGGACGGAGGAGATGAGCACCCCGGGGGCGGCAGGACGTGCTAGCCAGGCTGAGAGATGCTGCCTGGCGCCGCGAGCTGTGACCCGAGAGGCCTGAGCGTGGGGGCCACTGAACCAACAGGGCCGTGGTGGTGCTGGCCATGCAGGGCCGAGGGCCCTGGGGGCAGTGGGCAGCCCCCCCGCCCAAGCTGGGTCCACTGTTTAGTATCCTGTTATCTGGAGCTTATCACAGGACCCTCCTGCCTCAGTTTCCTTATCTGTAGATCTGGGTAACGATGCCGTCCCAGCAGGGGCACTGGGACACAGCAGACCTCAGGCCTGAAAGGATCGGTGACCACTGGCCACTCGGGTCCAACGTCCACCCCTCTGGGCCAACAACACTGAGCATAAAGAACTGTGAGGGGCGCTGCAGAAAACCCTGTGGGCAAAGTCCACGCCTCAAACCCTGCCCAGGCCTGTTCGACGTGCCGGCCTGAGTGAGCCCAGACCTCCAAGCCACAACCTGCCACCCAGCCCCACAGGGCCCAGGATGGCTAAGACAGGTGCAGAACAGCCCGGCCTCAGCAGAGAAGGCTGGAAGATGCCTTCCTGTGTGCCCAGACGGTCACCGAGCAGGGAAGGAGAAAGGAGGCCCTCCCCAACATCTGAGCACACGAAAGCTGCCCCCTACCCCCTGTGACACGCAGGGGTGAGTCTGGCCTCCCGGTAACCGGCTGGGGTCAGGTGCTAGTCGTCCATTAACGGCCTACCGTGGGCTCGCCGGTCAGGGCCAGGGTAAGGCCCCAGTGGCCGGGGACAGGCGGATGATAAGGGTAATTTCACCTGCTCGGCTGCTGGGCCACAGCCAGTCCAGCAGACACCTCGGTGGCCCTGTGCCTGTGGCCCACGCAGGGTCGCTCTCACAGCCGCAGCCCTGATGACATCGCCCCTGTCCTGTGCCCACTGGCGGGCGGCCGCCGAGGACCGTGCCGCCGCAGGGGGCGCTGCTGCCCGCCCGCCATCGCCCTGCTGGGAGCCTCGGCAGAAACTCCGGCTCCGGACATGGGTGTGGAATGGGGGAGTCGTCTGGGAGGCCCCTGCCAGTTCCGTGAAGGTGGGAGAGACGGGCGGATCGAGCGAGGGGCCGGTGCACCCCACGTCGTGCGCAGTCAACCTGTCTGGCCCCAAGGCGACTTTCACACCCACCGGCTCTAACGTTTAACTGGAGCCGCCTGGCTGCGTCTCCACCCGTGATTCCCTCAAAGCCACAGCAAACACGGCGCTGTCCACAGCCTCCCTCCCTGGCCCGTCTGGTCCCCTCTGCGAGCCGAGCAGCCCCCCGGCTTTGCAAAGTCCCCTGGGCTGGGCCCGGGGTGCGGCGCCTTGGCGAGGCGTGAGCAGATAGGGTGAAGGGTGGGCTCCAGGCCCATCACCTTCAACTCTCTCCTGCCCTGCGGGGCTAGAAGAGGGGGAGACGGCTGCTGAGTGTAAGGCTGTAGGTCTGCTCTGGTCTCTGATCTGTCACAGGACACAGACACAGCCCGTGTGGCAGGGCAGGAGAGGACGGCGGGATGCAAGGTCCGGCTGCCCCTGGGCTCCGCCGCTCCCCAGCGGGCCAGGCTCTTCAGGGACACAGCCTTCGAGCTTCCTTCAAGCAAGCCGCCTGCTGGGAGCAGCAACCCCTCGTTGAGGGCCCCTCTCACCTTCATCCCGAAGGACTGCATCCGGGTGGCCACCTCTCTCCCGATTCTGCCCAGGCCGAGAATCCCCAGGACCTTCCCGTTCAGCTCTGTTCCCATGAACTGCAACCAAAGAAGCCAGAATCAGCCGAGCCTGGGCGGGGCACCGTGCCGGCTGGGGAGAGGCAAGGCCGGGCGCTCACCTTCTTGCGCTCCCATTTGCCGTCCTTCATCGACGCCGTGGCCTGGGGAATCTGCCTGCAAGGACACGCTCGGGTCAGGGGCCGCCGGCCGCACCAGGCCCGTGGTGGGGCGTAGCACGGCCGGGCTGTCGTGCCCCGAGCCACGCTGACTCGGCCCAGGGCGGGCGCAGAGACGTGACCTGGTGCCTGGGTGTGTTTGCAGTTAGGAGCCCGGGAGGAAGCCCGGTTCCGGCCCAGTCCCTGAGGCCCCAGGAGAGACAAAAGGACAGGCGGTTCTCTGGGCTTCAGGATGAGCAGGCGGGGGTCCATCTGGGCACAAGTTCCAGCAGCCCCCACGGTATCCAGGAGCGGCCGGCTTCTTGCTCCTCCCAGAGAGTCTCAAGTCCCAGCGGGCTCAGGCCAGAGAGAGCCGGGTGGGTGCGGCAGGGAAGGCGCTTGGAGCATCCACATCACCTCCTGCCCCGGCCCAAGCACACCCCACCTCCGATGGGTTATCGTGGAGCACTGGGGCCCCTGTGTTTTGTGGAAGAAGTCAGGGCAAAGCTGAAGGTCAGAAGGTCAGTTAAGTCATGAGGGACAAGGTCATCCACTGCTCCAAGCCAAAAAGGGACGACAAGAAGAATGCCCCAGCAGCGGAAGGCGCCCTCTCTGCTGCAGACACCATCACGCCAGCACACGCCCCATGCTCACGGCTGCGTGAGGCCGCTGGGCCCCATCACACCACCCAACTGGCAGGTGAACCCACGCAAGGCCCCAGAAGTCGCCAGCCGCGAGCCCCTGCGCGTCCGGGAGACTGGGCACGGCAGCCAGAGTGTGGGGCAGATCTGAGTGTCCTCCCGGAGGACCTCTGAGCGGCTTATGGACAGAGACCCGTGTCCACTTCCTCGCGAGGGGAGGGCTGGCGTGAGCCCAGGGGCAGGCGAAGCTTCGGTGGCGGGTGCTGCGGGACGCTGCAGCTCGTCCTCCAGCCCAGCCTCGCAGGGGCTGCCGTCAGGGTCGGAGACTGGCCTTGGGAGCGCTCCAGCCCCCAGAGCTGAGTGGCCTCTGCCCACTTCACTCTGTCCCTCCTTTCACCCTACCCCGGCCTCTGGACTCAGGGTGGGAGAGTCGTCGGGAAGCAGCTGAGAGAGGAGCCCGTAGAGCCCCCTGGACACTGCCCCGGACCCTCCCCCGCCGCTCACCCCCGGTCACAGAGCTGCCAGAGTTCATCTGGGGTCCTTGCTGGGCCCCTCTGGGAGGACCGTGACATGGGCCAGCGGCTTCTGCGGTAAGCAGCAGCCGGCCCCACTTTTGCTGCAGGAAAGCAGGCCCTCGGCAGAAGCCGTGAGGCCCCTCTTCTGGGTCACAGCTGTGCCCAGCACCTCGGGAACCCCTTCCCTCTGTTCCACATCCCCCACTGTAGGTGAGGCCCACTCGGTCCACCTGCAGGTGCCCACGGCGGGAGGGGGAACTGGCTCTGGGAAGGCAACAGGGTGACTTCTCTGTCCCAGAAGCTTCCAGGCCTGAGCAGTCAGGAGCCTTGCTTAAAGGACCCCAGGTCTGCAACGGGACCTGAGTAGCTCCCCGTTCCCCCCGGGGCCCCCGACCTTCCCACGCGCCACAGAAAGACTAGCACAGCCGGTTCCACAGCCAGTCACCACCCAGCACGGTGAGACTGATGTGCCTGTCACCTGAGTCCCCGGGGCCTCCCCTCCTCCGTGGCAACACCCCAGAATTCCTGCTGGAGGAGCGAGAGGTCTGGCCGCTGTGTCTCACCCACCCAGCAGGCAGAGACCCCACAGCTCTGTCCTTCCCACCAGGATGCAGATGTGTAAGGACAGAGTTGAGGTCTGCAGGCCGAGGACACAGCTCGGCTGGGGGATTCAGAGCCACTTCTGGCGCGGGTTAGCACTCAGCCTAGCCGTGGAGAAGAGTTAAGGAGACAAAGGTGATGGGGAAGGATGCTCCAGGCTGTGGAAACGGCATCTCGAGGTTATGGAAGTGGGAGACAAGTAAGGGAAGGACAGTCGCCCACAACTGCTTTGTGGAGCACCCTGATTCCCTGATTTGCGGGCCCTTGAACCCCAAAGCCACCCAGCCTGCGGCCTTTCTGTTAAGTGCCAAGAGCTGAAAGCAACCTAGTGCTCATTCACTGATGAGTGAATATGGGTGTGGTATAGGTATATGTAAGCAATGGAATACTATTCAGCTATGAAAAAGATGGGCACTGCCCTTTGCAACAGCATGGACAGCCCTAGAGCATATCATGCTTAGTGGAATGAGCTGTAAGGAAAAAGACAAACACTATATCATTCTGCTCACAGGTGCTACACAGGCCTAACGGACAGACTGCTGGGGAGGTGGGGACTTACCTGGCCAGGCACATGAGCATACCGCAGGTGAGCTCTGCAGCACTGAGGCTGTTCCCATTGGGGGTGCTGAGGGCAAAGAGGAGAGCCTGAGTGTCAGACCTGGGACCCCGAAGCTGTGAGCACTGACTCCCACCCCACCTTCCGAACCCAGCCCTTCAGGAAGCCCTTCTCTAGCCGCCTTTCTCTTAACCTTTCCCCTCCCTCTTGCCCCAAGTGGTCTCCACAGTCACCCAGCCTCCACCCCCGGCTGCCCCACCACTCACTTCATCACCAGGATGCCCTTCCGCGTGGCAGCCTCCAGGTCCACGTTGTCCACACCTGTGCCAGCTCTGCCCACCACCTGGAGCTTCTCTGCCGCATTGATGACATCAGCGGTCACCTTGGTGGCCGAGCGGACGATGAGGCCTTCGCAGTCCTGAGGCGGAAGAGCAAACATCTGGGCTCACCAAGGTGGTCTTCTAGGCCTCCTAAGGCCAGTACCTCATGCCAAGTGGGCATTCCTACCTGCTGGCGGACTGTGGGCACGTTCAGGGAAAGGAAGGCAAGGTCTACGGTCTGAGAGGCCCCACCACTACTCAGGCCTGGGTGCAAGTCCCAGTTGCACCCGCTACGAGCTGAGAATCTCCAAACCGACTTCGCCGGGTGTGTGAGGGAGAAATCAGAGAAGCCAGGCCCAGCGCCTGGGGAGCTGACTGGCCCTGCTCAGTGGACATCACCTCCTTCATCAGTCACTGACCCACCTGGGAGCAGCAGGATCCGCTTCTACCTTGCTGGCCCCTGTGCCAGGCACAGAGAGAGCACTAATAAATGTGGCTGGCTGCATGAGTAAATGAAGCGGACACTCAAGGTCAAACTGCCCATCCCACTCACTCCTGGATACCTACCTGGAAAATGCAAAAGCACTAAAGGGATATAGCTCCTCGTGTTTACTGCAGCACTACGGACAGATGCCATGAGCTGAAAGCAACCTAGTGCCCATCCACTGATGAGTGAATATGGGTGTGGTATATGTACATAATGGAATACTATTCGGCTATGAAAAAGATGAGCATCTGCCCTTTGCAACAGCATGGACAGCCCTAGAGCGTATTATGCTTAGTGAAATGAGCTGTAAGGAAAAAGACAAACACCTTATCTTCCTGCTCGCAGGTGATACACAGAAAACCAAGACGAGTGAAGAACAAATTGAAACAGTTAATACCCTCTTGGCTAGAAGTGGTTACCGGAAGGGAAGGGCTGAGCGAATAAGAGAATGGGGCCGGATGGATGACAATGGAAATGAGACCTCTGTGGCAAACCCAAAGTAGTATATAGAGATACTAGTTTACAATGCTGTGCCCTGGAACCTAGATAGCGTTTAAAAGCAAGTTAAACAATCGTTTGAAGGACAAAACTGTTGAAAGAAAAAATTTCCTAAAACAAAGACCATTGTCTGCGAGGAGGGGAGAGCCATTCCCCCTTCCACAGCGGCTGAGAGATGTAGGCCATCTTAGACTGACACCACACATCCGTTAAAAGTTAAGACCTGAGGGCGCACGAAGCAAGCCCTTCACACGGTTACTGAACAGAGGCCACCACAGGGGCGTGTGGGGGCGAGAGGGGAGGGAGGGCCCAGTGGAACATGGGGGAGATTACCGGGGCCCTGATGGTGGGCACGGAGTGAACACAGACATTTGTAGAGGTCTGAAGCTACAACCCCCAAACATGCATAGCTTTACCTCAAATAGCATAAAGGGGGGGGGGGCGGACAGTGAGACTTCCCGATTTCTCCGGGCTAAGCAGACCCTGGCCCAGTCCTCCTTCCTCCTTTGCTCTTCCAGAATCCTGTGGCCGCTCCCCGGAGCAAGGCTGTGGCTGCCCAGCACCCAGAGCACAGCGGACCAGTGTGCGTGGTGCCTGGCCGGTGCCCGGCTCCCCGAGGACGCAGAGGTGAGCGGGTGGCGAGCTGGGGGTGCAAGGCTGGGGTCTCGTCCTGGGCCCGTCCACCAGTCGGGTCACCATCCAAGGCCTGGCACCCCCCGTCTGCCCACGCCAGGTGGGCAGGGCCCTCTGGCGCCCGTCAGTACAAGTCCGCAATTTCCTGGGGGACGTCTCACTGGGTCCCCGGAGAACCTCGCTCCCCTCCTGGCACATGGACTCCTGAGGCAGAAAGGCCACAGAAAGGTCGTGGCAGTGAGGCCCAGACTGTGCCAGGGACAAGTCTGGACACGTCCCGTGGAGAAAGAGCAGGGCCATTTACCTCCACCGGAGGACAGGAGGGAGGTGCCGGCCCCTGGCCTAGGGCTCCGGTCTGCAGGCCGGGGGTGCTGAACAACTTAGAGAGGTCACGGAGGATTTCTGGGGAGGCACTAGCTTCACGCCTCCTCACCAGGCGGGGCGGGGTGACCTGAGAAGGCAGAGGCCGGCTGGTCCCGGGCACACCAGGCCCTGCCACATCCCTGGCTCGAAAGAAAAACCTCAGTGTGGCACTGGAAGAACTGACCAGCGCGGGTCCAGTCCCACTTCACAGGTCCAACCTGAAGCCCAGCAGAATGCCCGTCTCCCCTCCCCCTCCCTTGACACCTCTCCCTTGGTTATCAGGGGGCCACTATGTGGGGTTGTGTGAGACTGCTGGCGGGAGGTGATGTCACAGCCCCGCCCCTCCAGGACCCCACAGTGCTGTGGTGTCGCACTGCTGGAGGGCTGGACACGCACAGCTCAGCGGAACCAAGGTGAAGCCACTGTGACCGTTCTCTGGGCTGTGCCTGGAGGGCGCCCTGAACCCTGCAACCCCCAGTAGAAAATCAGCCACTGCGTGGGAGGAAAAGGACAGGACAGCCTCCATCCGCTGCCCAGCAGCACAAGGGCATTTCCAAGGGCAGTAAAAGTGTCCTCCAGGGAACCAAGCACCTGCCCTTGCTGACCGCTCCTCCACTTCACAAGTAGTGGCCCTCTCTGGCCGCGTCGGGTCTCCTTGTGGGCATCTTCCAACCCGCTGACCAGCCCGCTCAGACCGTGCACTCCCACGTGTTCTCTCCCACCTCCCCACGGCCCAGGCCCACCGGCCTGTGCACACACGAACCCCTCTGGTGCCCTCCCTGCATGGCTCGGTGTCATGACTCCCCCGCGCCCCCCAACCCGGAGACGCTTTAACATCCAGCGGAACTAGGGAGCTACAGGCATCAGCACAAAGAGGTGCAGAGGGCGTTTTTATGAACTCTGGATGGAGAAACTTTCCCAGGCAGGCAGAACCCCCAGGACCTGGGACAAACTTCGTTCCATTCGAAATTAAATTTCCCCATGGAAAAGGACCCCACAAACGAAGGAAGAGCCATGACGTTGGGAGGAAGCTCCTTGCAACACATGCAGGAGAGAAAGACTCTCCCCCAGAAGTGCTGACAACGTCCTACAAGCGGATGCTCACCAAGTGGAAATCAGCAAAGTTGAAGTGGGTCAATCACGAGAACCACAAAGTAGCCCCTGAATCCTGAAGACTGGAACGCGAGAGCTAGGAAATCGAGTTCAGAAAATGATGCTCTGCAGGCATGCTGTTGACTTCCCCTCCATGCACAGCGCCACAGTCACTAACCTGAGCCGGGAGCCCCGTGGCCGGGCCAGCCAGGGACCAAGGTCAGCCCTCACCGCAAAGGGCAAAACACTGGGCCAACCCCAGAGCCGCTTCTCAGGATCACGTCGCTCAGGCCAGCTTGCTCGGGCGCTCTGCCAGCGTCCCAGGGCCCGTGGGTGGGCCTCCTTGGATGGTCTCTCCAGCTCCCAACCAGGCCCCCCAAGCCTCACGAAATGTCTCCCAGGTCAGACTGGCTGGAGGAGGGTGCCGGAGTCCGTGCAGTGCACCCCACTCTTGCAGACTGGAGACAGCACCCCTGTCTCGCAGAAGGGGATGGGGACGTGCCGAAGGTCCCCAGCACAGACCTGCCTTCCCAGCGCCTCCCGGGAGACGCCCTTGGGCAGACCCAGCCTTTTGTGCAACAGGCGGCAGGTCGGTCCCAGCTCACCTCACTGGCTTTCTAGGCCCGTCCCGCCCTTCACAGCCTCAGCTCCCTCCATCCTTCATCCGGCCTTTTCATCAGTTGGTCCAGTCGCCAGCACACACTTGAGAGCTTATGTGACCAGCTGTGTCCTGCCTCCCCTCACCCCCATAACCCCAGGCACCGTCCCCTTCTCAAGCCACAGGCCACGGCTCCAAGATTTCGCTCCAAGCTGCAGCACCTCCTGTGCGTCCTCTGTGTGGCCTGCCGACGCTGACTTTCCTCTCCTGCATGCTGGGGTCCCTGTTGGCACCCCTGGGTGCGGGCAGGCAAGCACTGGGTGGCACCTGCTCCCCTCTCGCAAACCTCGGCAGCCCCTGTCCTGCTAATCACAGCCGCTCCCACCCTAGGCTAGTTCAGCGCCCAGTCTGCCTCAGGTTCACACCTGCTCCCTTCCCCCCCCCCAGGCTGGGGTTGGCCTTGGGGGTGACTCCACTATTGCTGGTGCCTCACCTTAACCCTTAGGGGAAGTCCAAGAAACACTGCAGGCCACGGTCCCCGCCGGAGTGCTGCTTTCATTTCATCTTTCTAAACATTCTGAGATAAAGGCATAACCATGCTTCTGTCCATCAAATGTCTAATGGATTCTGACCAGCAGTTCAACCGCTGTTTAATGAAAGCGAAGAAAAACAGCAGGAGGCCTCACGGAGCAAGGCCGCCGTGTCCGGACACTTGTGAGCACAGGTGTGGAGTGAGATGTTCCTGCTTCAGGTGTGACACCTGGTGAAAGCGGAGGGATGCTAAGGACCAGCTCTGTGAAGCCCACGAGATGCTTCCTCCCCCACGCCAGGGTTTTGCAAATCTCTTTGAGTCCCACGGCAAGACACACAATTGAAGTTGTGATCTTATATTCTCACCCAAACTACTCATGTCACTGGAACAAACTTTCATCCACGAGCTCCCACTACCTGCCCTGTGGCTGGAGTTTCCTAATCCGCCCTTTCTCATACTGGTCACGATCCACTAGAAGGCCCTGGGCCCTCGTTACCCCCTAGTGAGCTGTGACTCTGAACAGCCCCACTGGGGGACCATTATGTTTCCCGAGGAGGAGAAAGAGGAACTGTGTCTGCTCAGAATACAAAGCAGCTGGAAGGCAGCCTGCCTGTTCCTTCGGATGAAAAAGACTTAAGCTGGAGAGGGGATGAGACACTATTCCAGACACATCTCCAGGCAGAATAAAAAGGGAGCGTGAAGAGACAGCCCTCCAGAGAGCGCAGGGCACCGAGCCTGGGCGTTCCACACAGCCCCACAGTGCCAGCCGCCAGGAGGCCTCCTGCAGGCCAGAGTGCGCTGTGCCTTCCAGCTGGGGGCTCCCAGCACCCCGGCCACCTCCCAGACATCACCCTCCACCAGGCCCGAGCCCCCTTCTCAGCCAGGGGCACACTCCCTGCCTTGGGCTGCGCTTGCCGGGTCCCCATCAGAATCTTCTTCTCCCTAAGAAGGAGATAAGTGCAAGTCCAGGCCCCTCTCGGTGGGTGGGCTGGTGAAGGTGAAGGTCACAGCTGACCCAGCAGCTTCTCTACAGTCTTCCCGGCCAATGCCCAATGCCAAGGCCACCCAGCCCGAGCCCACGAGAGGGGCAGTGCGTGCCGGCCTCCCTGTGCCATGCCCACGCCTCAAGGATCAGGCCCATCACTCCCTCCCTCCTCCCAGCAGAGAAGCTGCAGAGCTGGGCGCCAGGGCTGGTGCAGCCCTCCGGGCTTTGCACAGGGTGTGTCCGGGCACCCTAAGGTGCCCATAAGCTTCTCGAAGGCAGGGCTGGGTGGCAAACCTCTTGGCAAACAGGCAGAGACCCAAACACCAGGATAAGCACCAGGGGCAAGGAGGACCCGCAGGACCCGAGCAGAAACACAGCAGGACACCCAGGCAGACAAACAAGCACCCCACCCCCACCCCCAGCAGGTCTGAGGACCACGTGGTAAGGCCCAGCTAAAGCCACAGCAGCTGGATGGTGGTTGGGCAGAGTGGGGGACAGGGCCGGCGGGGCGGGTCCTCCCGAGTTTGCCGGAGGTGGGCCGCCTGCAGGGGAAGAGTTGGGGCGTGCAGAGTAGGAGTTGGAGATCTGGGGGGAAGCTCCCCGGAGAATAGCGCGCTTATCCCTCAAGCCTGCGGGAGACTCGCGGACCAGGTAAACAGTTGAAGTCGTTGGCGCCGGTATGCCACACCAAAGCCTTTCGTCCCTGGGGCTTGCCAAGAAACAGAAACTTCCCGGGGGCGTCAGGAACGGGACCGAACGGCCACAGACCAGGCAGCGGCCAGCGGCGGGAGGGGATCCCCGAGCCCCGCGATCCGGGCGCCCCCCGCCCGCCCCTTCGCTCCCAGCCCTCCCAGGAGGCCGAGGGGCGGTGAAAACTCGCCTGGGTCTTGCATCAGACGAAAGGCGGATGCGGGGTTCGCAGCCCGGGTCGGGCACCTTCCTGCACGCCGCCTCTCCCGCAGCCTCGAGACAGGCTGGGACTCCAGGCTGGGACCCCGCCAGCCTCCCGCGGGGGGGCGGACTAGGGCCGGCGGCCGGGGCGACCCGGGGGCGACCGCGGGTCTCCGGGCTCCCCGCGAGGAAGCCTCGCCGGCGGCCGCCCCGACCTCTCCGCGGGGGCCGAAGGCGGCGCCGGGGCCGCGCTGGCATCCCGCGAGCCGGCCGAGGACCAGCTGGAACTGCCAGCACTGGGCGCGCTCGCGGGAGGCGGCCACACGCGGCTGCAAACTGAGCGGAAAGTTTGCACGGCGCAGCTCGCAGCTGGCCTGTCCCTCCCCATTCTCCTCCCTCTCCCCCAACCCCCGAACTCTGGAGGCCCCGGGACAGTAAGTCAGAAGGCGGAGGAGAGCGGGCGCGGGCGGCGCGCGGACACGGCCAGCCTGCCCCCCAGGCGGATGCCCCGAGTCATCGCCTCCCTGCTGGTAACTCACCTGCAGCTCGGCTATCAGCTCCTCTTTGCTCAGGTTCTGCTTCTCCACCACCTGCAGCCCTCCATCTTGCAGGATTTTCCGGCAGCAAGGGTCCAGGCTGTCACTGATGAGCACTTTCCGGAGATTTGCAAAGGCCATGGCTGGAGGGGGCCTCGGCCGCCGCTCTTCCTGGGCTGGGGCACCTCAGCGAGCCGACAGACTGCAGTTCCGCCGGAGGGCGCGAGTCACTGGGCGGGATCCTCGCGCCCGCTCCCCCTTTTATCTACCCCACAACCGGCTCCTTCTGATTGGCCGGAAATGCTCCAGCGCCCCGGGGCTCCGCCCCCTCCTCGTCCTGCGCCTTGGCATCCCCGCCCCCTTTATTATTCTCCGGCGATGAATTTCTCAATCTCGGCCAAGGCCCTTCCCTGCACCTGGGGAGCGTCGGCAGGCACTTTGCGCTGACTAGCTGATTTCTATCTGAAGCACCCAGACGTGTGCGTGTCACCGTGGGAAGCATCGCCTCTTTGCCGCTTTCCTCCCAGGCGCTCCTTCCTGAACCCCTCTAGCGTGGGGCTGAACGCCCCTGTTAAGTGCAAGACGCCGAACGTTCCGGAACATCCTCAAAAAGTGCTCCTTTCCTTAGGCCCAAGCAGAGACAAGTTGGGAAACTTTCTGAGACTCACAAAGCAGTATTTAATTCCAAATAGATGGGGCAATGATTCTGGGGATTTAAAAGGCAGCAAGGGCTTTGTGCTTCGAGAGGTCAGAATCTTTATTCACTTGCACTATTCTCCTCTTCCCCCACTTTCTTTCTCATTCTGAAAAACCAAGAAGAAATGGGATGTCAGGCTGGTCTAATTTACCTTGGGAGTTCTCCCCAGCTCTAAGCTCCTTGGTGTTTAAACCCCAGGACAAATGTGTTCTTCATGCCCTACTTTATGGGAATTTTGGAATATTTCCTTTCAGATTGTCCAGGGTCAGCAGCGGAGACGGGTGCTTACAGGTGCGTTAGAAGGCAGTGTGTCCCTCCCAGGTAACCACGGTGTGTCCTCGTCCTGTGTGGCTTGCAGAACTGAAGGGCTAGATCCTTAACCTACCGGCCTGTGCAGTATCAATAACACATAAAGCGCTAGTGCTTTCAGGCTGACGACTTCCAGGCACAAGCCAGATTTTAGATCTAGTGTCGCCGGTGGGAAGGAGTCAATGTGTCTATCCCGTCTACTCCTTCCACGGATTCTACGGTGGGCCTCTCACCCTGCGGTCCTGAGAGAGCCCGAGGCCTGGCCCGGAAGGTCAGTGAGGGCAGCAGAGAGATGCCCATCGTGTTACACTTTGTTCACCGCCTCCCCAGACTCCCCCTTGCTTCCACTCAGCCGGGTGTCAGCCCTGCTACCTCTAAAGGTGACCTGCGGCACAGCTTCCGGGGGACTGGACTTGCAGCCCAAAGTCCTCCACCTGAACACCTCAGCCTTATTTTCACTCTTTATTATTTGTGCCCCACCTACCTCCACAATGAAAGACACTTATGAACCCCTACAAAACAGCTAAGGAGAGCCCCTCTAAATAGACCTAAGGTGCGTAATAACGTTCACTGTAAAAAGTGAGCAAGTCCCTCTTCTAGTTTCTAGAGCGTCACCTCCACAACACGGTCCCGGGTGCCCTAAGTACTTGACATGTCATAGCTCCTCCCTCTTCCATCCTCATTAAAATCAAAGACACAGGCCCTCCCTGGTGGCTCAGCGGGTTAAAGCACAGCACTGAGAAGCTACTTCCGCATGAGTTCAATTCCCGCCTGCCCGGAGGTGACCACATGGCACAGCAGACCTCTCCTGACCTGCCCGCTGCTCCCCTCAGCAGTGTACTTTGTCAATCTGCCTGTTCTGCTCCCCACTCTGTCTCTGGTGAAGCCTCTCACCGCCCCTGAGCCTCCGGCCTGTACCCCAGTTCTGTATGCACAAATAAATAAATCTTTAAAAAAAAAATCAAAGACACAACGTCATATCCCTCAATTATGCCAGCCTGGTCCCTGTTAGACTGTCAAGGTTCAGAAGAGATTCTGCTCAAAACTTCATTTCTTGAGCCTACTATGTGCCACATGCCCTGGCTTCACCCTGAGGATGTGATGATGCACGAAACAGCCTCCTCTCTCAGAAAGAAAGAAAGTTAGCACAGCAAAGAGGTGCTGAAGAGCTTTGGGGAGGGGAGCGAGGAAGAACCATCAGTGGAAGGCAGGGCGGCTCCCGGGCGCTGGGGCCCAGAGTTCCCTTTGAGCTGATACCTTGAGGCCCACAGTACACACTATTCTGAGAAATCCCAGGCTGCAGTGATGAGAGATGTTTATCGGCCTTTTGGAGTCAGGTCGGAAGTGACCAGTGGAGAATATAAGCGACATTTGCAAAGGCCCAGACATGGCAGAAGGGCTGTGAGCAGTGCAGACAGGCACGGCCCGAGTGCCCCGGGGGTCTCAGTGGAGCAGGGACTTAAACTGGACTCTAAAGGTGCTTCCGAGGCCTTGAGGCTGCTGCTAGTGGACATCTCATCCCTGCCCTCAGCCGCTCCCAGTAGTCAGGGGTTTTATCCCAAGGGAGCAGGGAAATGTCCGGCCTCAACCTGTGCTGTCCCCCCATCCGTTAACTGGGGCTCTGGCCCTTTGAAATGAAGCGGCCTCAGCTTCGGGCCCAGAGTATGTCCACAGTGAGTGGGGGAAGGCCCCACGCCAACCCCAGCCTCTTCTTGTCTCTCTCTCTCATGGAGCCGGGCACCCACCAATCCATGCCTTCTGCACCCTGTGCACAGTGTACCTCTGGGCTGGAGAGGTGGGTCCAGCTCTCCTGGAGAGGATAGGACTGGTGTGTGGGGGTGGGGGTGGAGGGTGGGGGGATCCCTTTCTCTACTTGAAGTAGATGTGATTTTGAAACTCACCCTCTCAGTCATAAAACAGGTATTTTGAGACATAAATCATGAATTGTCATCTGCGAAACAGGCACATCTGGACTTGAATTCCAGTGTCTCGAATACCAGTAACGTGACCTTGGGCAACTGACACACCTCTCTGAGGCTCGGTGTTCTCTGAAACTTGGGGCGAGTAGGACCACTCTTACTTCATAAGGGTGTTGTGAGGGTTAAGAAGGCAACACAGACCAGTGAGTGCGCTCAGTCCATCGTGCACACATCTCTCTGGGATTCTGCAGGGCCCGGAGCTGCTGAGTGTGCTGGGAGCAAACATTCAAACAAGACAAACACAGTCTCTGTTCCCGGGGAGATTTCATTCTGGTGAGCACAGAAAAATAACTTAAATACCAGTAGTGTACTTATGGGAGACCAGACACGAGTCTTTTTTATCTGCTTGAGGGACAAGAACATTCTTTAACTCTGGTCAGCTTTTTGGTTAACTTTTTAAATCATCTGCCTTCTGGAGCTTAAAGTTCTCTGGTTAGCGAGTCAAAGAAACTTGTCAGAGAAATACTTTGCTCTTAAAATCTTTGTCACTCTGGGTAATTAAGTATATTTTATTTTTATTATATTTTTTAAAGATTTATTTATTCATACAGAACTGGGGGTACAGGCCAGAGATATGGAGGTTGAGAGGATTCACAGAGAGAGCGGGGAGCAGAACAGGCAGATGGATGAATTCCACTGCTGAGGGGAGCAGCGGGCGGGTCAGGAGAGGTCTGCCGCGCCATGTGGATCATCTCAGGGACAGGCGGGGACTGAGCTCATGCGGAAGCGGCTTAAGCTTCTTAGCGCTGTGCTTCAACCCGCTGCGCCACCAGGGAGGGCCCTTAAGTATATTTTATAAAGTCTGGGCCGGTATATTAAGCTTGTGCCAGAGCTTCCCTGGTGTCAAAATTCTTAGTAAAGTCTTTAACTAATTGGAAAGAAAACAAATTATGGACTCTTAAGGGAATTCATACAAGCATTGTCTTTGTACAAAAGAAATATTAAGGAAATTGGGGCAGTCTGGGGATGTTGAGACTTTGAAGGTCATAGCAGGAGAAAGACCAAAGCTCTTAGCAAGTGTATAAGTAAATAATGTTCTAAAATCTTCTTGAAGCCTGGTGTCCTGGTGAAATATTGCTGGTCAACTCAGGTTATTCAAAAATATTGCATGTCACAGTCTGAACAAACTTCCTTGGCAACTGTATGAGAACCTGGTTTTAAATGTGGTTACTTTAAATTCTGTTGTTATTTGTAGAAGTTACATACTCTGCTTTGCATTCAGAGAAAGTCCCAGGAAAAAGACTGATAGATACTCTAGCAATATTAGCTTATCATGGAATTGAGAAAAGAATTGCAGAATTATAGGGAAAAATAGTAATTGGGCTTATAAAAATTGCTACGGAGACACCCAAAATGGCTGCAGGGCTGAATGAAGGTGAAAGGTTAAAGCAGTTCTAATGGCTTTTCAAAATGTTTGCGTTCTCCAGAAAACGTCCTTTTGTTGAACTGAGCTAGGATCTACAGTGGAACTAATCATTTGCTTTTCTTGCTGAGAAAACCTCAAACGTAAATTTTTGTTTAAGTATTTAAAAAAAAAGATTTACTTATTTATGCATACAAGAACTGGGGTACAGGCCAGAGGTACAGGGGGGTGAGAGGATTCACCAGAGATAGAGCGGGGAGCAGGACAGGCCGACTGATGAAGTCCACTGCTGAGGGGAGCAGCGTGGAGACAGGAGAGGTCTGCTGCACCCTGTGGGTTACTCCCTGGCCTGGGATCAAACTCGTGCTGCAGTGGCTGCGGACAGCTTCAATAGTGCTGTGCTTTAACCTGTTGCACCACCAGGGAAGACAGAGTAAGCATTTTTATTTCTCATGACAATGTGTTTCTTTGCATAAACCCAGTAAGGTTCTTGCTTTACTGTCTAATGGACTATGGGAAACATGTTTGTATTGCCGGGCCTGGAATGGGCAGACTGCTTTTGTTTCAGGGCAGACTGAGGGGTGCCAGGACCCCCACACCTGCCTGCCACCCACCACATAAAGACAAAACAGACTCTAGGCATAAGGCCTTTGATAAAAATAACTTTAATACAATCTGTAGAAGAAAAAGGATATATGACACAATAGTTAAAATTGTTTCTAATGCAACACCCAAAGCTACCCACCCCGGCCAGGCAGATGCCCAGCAAACAGGGGTGGCCCAAAGCAAGGCCACTGAGGCCCCAAAGCTGCCGCAGTGTCTGAGGCCCCTCTGGCAGGGCCCACAAGAGAGGGGAGAGGCCGGGCTTCTCTGGAAGGACAGGGGCAAAATCAGAGTACAGGGCAGGACA